CTGCACAAGTATGTTTCTCCTGGTAGCCTCCAATTAGCCTTCTTTAATTAATTGCTAAAATCTAGGACCTTTGTCTCCAGCCTGGCTGCTGCCACCAGAAGCACATCCACCTATGGCCTCAGTACTTACACCATCAATTTATAATCTATATCAAAGCTGAATTCATTTTGTAAACAGGTTATTCCTGAAGTTAAACACCCTAGAAAATAGTATCTCGTGGCCCTCCTTTAAGTCGGCCTTTTCCTTACTGCATTCTGTCTGGAGTGTAGCACCTAGTTCTACCAGGTCCAAATATTTTATTCTCTCAAACGAAAAAAATACTTCTGAGAGCTTTTTTTCAGACATTATTCCCACAAAACAAGATGCAGACAAAGCTTTAAGCTTGTTGAAAATGCAAGTATGTTCCATTCTAATGGTTTTCCAAGAAGAAACGCAGTTTCCTAGAAGGAATTATGATTTTTAAGCATTGTGCAAGATGGGTACTTACAACTCTGCTGTGCTTTTAGCACCCACCTCATTACTGTCCTTTGAGAAACATCAGGCTCGGAGAGCTCTGAACAGACATTTTCTGAGCAGCATTCAGTAAACAGCCGTATGCTTACGCAAAGAGGCTGCTCGAGTCTCTCCACGTACTTTGCAAAATCTCCCCCTTTTGTGTCAGACTGAGAATCACCTGTGTTACTGTATGGAGCCATTACCTTTACTCCTGTGTTTTCTTTTCACATTCTAGCTTTACTTCAATTTTCTGCTTGCCTTTTCCATACATGGAAAAGTTAAAAACAAACAAAAAACAGACCCAGAAAAAAGTCCTAACAAGGACAACTTTGCTGCAGGAAGCTTAAATTACAACTGAAACCAAGAACAAAGCCATAATCATGTGCTTCCCTTAGTCTGCAAGCAGACAATTTAAAATTATTGGGGGAGGGGAAGAAACACTAGTTTTTCTGAAACTACATTTTCTTCCCTTTAAAGGGAAAAAAAACCCCACCACAGACTGCATTGGAAGTTTGTAGCTGCCTTGACCCAGCCTGTGCATCTTTGCACAAGAGAGCAGCTCTGGTGACTCAATCCAGAAGCATCACAAGTGTCCTGCAGCACTTCCCAGTGTAGCTCAGCGAACGTACAGGCCAGGCCAAGATTAAAGCTAGCCAGATGCACGGCAGGGCAGAGAACCCAGCCGCTGTGCACAACAGAAAACGGCTCTTTCAGAAGGCGCTTGGAAGGGGAGTTATTGTTTTCCTAGCTCTCTGGCATATTCTTTCCAACAAGCTCATACACCGTAGTCTGGAAGTGCCTTTCTTTTGGGTGCACAGAGAACCCCTGGGGAGTTCAGGGACAAGAGTAAAGATGGCTCTTCTGTATTTACGTAGTTGTTATGTAAGGAGACAGCGTCCTCCCCACCTCCTTGTAACAGAAAGCCAGGGTCAACTGCCTCAGCTTACGTCAAAGCCCTCGCAGCCTTGCCTTTCCCACACCAACAACTGGCAGAAGTGACGCTATGCACTCACCTTGGGGATTTTGGCAAACCGCCCTACGCGGGTATCTCGGATGCTGGTGATATCCAAAATTTCCATTTCCTACAACAGAATAAGGACAAGAAAGATGAAGAAAGACAAAGGAGGACGGAACGAAACCCATTCCAGAGTCCCCAGAAGCTGCAAAGCAGGTCCCAGCCAGCGCCCTTCGCTGGGGGAGAGCTCTCCCACCAGGAAGAAGGCAGGCAGGGGAGCACCGGCGGCTGACACGCC